CAAATTAAATGACTTGTGCTTCCATCTTGCTAAGTGCAGGAAAAGTTTTCTTCCTTCCACCTAGTCTTCTGTCTCATGACAACCCCTTCATTCTAAGGCCTGCTTACTGAGTTTAAGAGGAAAATCTGAGAATTATTGCCTTGAGAGAAACGGAGAACCTGCCTCGTCAGCCATGGAACCTAATTCTTTCTGAATGTTGATGTTGTGGCTACTATGTAGGATCATTGTTGAAATATGGGCACATTGGGTCTAGGAAGATTTTAAGTCTTAGCCATACATTATACCCAGAACTAGCCTCTTCTCTCTCCCCAAGGCTTGCTCCATTTCTTGTTTCATTAACTCGAGTGTCATTGTAACAAAGCACCTTTCCCTTGAAAACAAAGGCATATATAGTACAATCCAAGAAGTTAAACTATATAAATTCTTCTCATTGTGAGCACAAATGAGAGACACCCTAACTTAGTGACTATAAGACCAGCCCTGGCTAAAATCAGACCTAGAGTTCCAGCTCCACCTTGGTTAATGCATGTGACAGCTACTGTGAAAAAAAAGGGAAGAGACAACTTGACAGAAAAACATGATTTCTAAGATGATTTTTAAAGAATGGGTAGGAGCTTAACAGGAGGAAGTAGGATTTCAGGCAGAGTGAACGGGCAAAAAAGGCTTGTAGACTTCAACATGGCGTAAGCTCAGAAAGTGTACTGGGCAGTGGAAAGAGCTGAAGCTAGAAAAATACATCAAGGCTAGATCATGGGCCTCTACTTCCAACCTAAACTTTATCCTTTATGAATAAGCCCACAGGAAGTTTTGGATGATTTTTAAGAAAGGAATTGATGTGGTCGAATTTTATCTTAAGGGAATCTTGACAATAATAGCATTGCTTCTATTTGTAGGGAACTTGTATAATAGCAAGTTAATGTTAATATTTTAAAAACTTTTTACTAAGTGTTGATATTTCAATATTTGTTACATTTTTACAACATGCCAGACTCTATGCTAAGCCCCTTTAAATGCATTATCTCATTTAATCCACCAAGAACATTATGAAAAGATTCAGTAATTTTCCCTATTTTCTAGGCAGAGAGCACAAATATGAGAGAGAGATTGGTAAATTGCCCAAGTGCATATAGTATGTAAGAGCCAGAATTTAAACTCAGGCAATTTGATTCCACAACATTAGTTTTAACCACCAGGGAGGGCAGTGGCCCTCAATCCTGTATGCACGCTAGAATCACCAGGGGAACTTAAAAAACAAAAGCAAAACATCATGATGCCCAGAAGTCTCCATTAAATCATAACTCCTGGTAGCAGGGTCTTGACATCCATTTATTTTAAAAGTGCCACCAAGTGCTTCTAAAAACCAGACAGGGTTGCAATCCACTGAGCTAGACAATACTGTCACCTTAACATACACTGAACAGTCCTAAACATGTGTCTCACACCCAAAATCACAGGTTAAAAAAAACCAAAAAACAAAAAACTACTACATAGTAAAATCACATTTTACTCTCACAAAGAAAAACTATGGCCTTCATCTTTTTTTGTAAAGACTGGCAGGCATCACAGAAGCACAATCAAAGAAGGCAGAGGTATAAAGAAAAAGATGACAGGAGAGCGTCAAGTTAGGAAGGAAGAGAGGAGCTGAAATTGGGGTTATTGAAGTAATAAGACACTGTCTACTGATGAGCGCTTGGTAATATCAAAGGCACATTTGCAGAATGTTTCCTTTTCAGTAATTGTACAAAGACTCCCTTGCCATTACAGAGCACTTTTCTTCTCAGTAGATTGAAGAATGCTTTACCAGCTAAATGCATCCCAGTAATATTCAGAGCTTAGGTCCAACATAATCATAAGTTGCCTTGTTATTGTGGAGGTAGCAGCCCCATTTAATAACATATTAAATGCATTATTCATTTATGTAACTCAGACCCAGGGACAGCTGCTGGGATGAAAATAGAACCATTCTGTAATGCAAAAAGCAGGTGTGTGCTTACTTGAGTAAATTAACTCTGTATTTCTGCTCAATTTTCTTCTAAATTTCAGGGACAGGTCTGGTAGGGCTAATGTGGTGCCATTTTCATCCAGGAAATAAAATGGTTTCCGAATGGTTTTTAATGAACATTTAAAAAAATTACCAACAGTCTTCTCCATGGCAGAATCCCAGGGGGAATGGATGCGTGCTTTGGATTTAAACAGAACTGTTGCTGCAGGATTCAGGAAAGCTTGGGGCAATGATTGGTCAGAGCAGTGATAAACAAAAGGAATGTTCCCTAGCTGATGACAGTGTTGATGGTGAGCCCATGCCTCTATAGCTGTCCTCTAAGACACAGTCACAGGTGTGCTCGGATGCTAAGTGATTAAAAATCATATTCTGCCATTCATTTGCCTAGCGCCTCGCCTCTGAAACATGCAGGGAGTTTCTGATGCACAGTTTGACTCACTGGGACGCATAATCCCTCTGTGACATTGATGGTCATTTTCTTGCTACCACGGCTGGTAGCAGAATGCCACCAAACTCCAATGTCAGCACCTTTTCTTTTGTTCCATTTCCCCACCTGCCATTATTTTCCCTTTTAATCAGCATGCACTCATCAGCTCCTGCAATGGATTTTTTTTTAACTCTCAGATGGGGTGATGTTAAAAATGCTCAGACTTGACCAGTCACAATAGGTAGGGAATCTAGCAGGAACAGGGTTTTGGAGGCTGCTTGCTGTGCTGGGTGCTAGGTGTTAACCCTTTAGTTGCTAGATTGTAAGGAGAAGCATGGCCTCCAAAGATAGAGATCACAGCTGGTTTGGCGGATGAGGTGCCTTAAGGGTTTGGGGTAGTGGTCATGACCAACTATGCAGATAGTTCAGTATTTCAAATGGTATAGTCATCCCAGTGTGTACCTCCTGACTACCAGCCGTGTGTGCCCAGGGCATAAGGATGCCCTCAAGGAGCTTAAAGTTCATGGTCACAGACAGGAAAAACAATCATGTGAGGCATAAATGATTCCTATCAGGTAAATCATAAGGATTCTTTTAAGAGTTTACAGATCGGATGCTATTACTCTATTTAAGGACTCAGTACAGAGTAGTGACAAAGAGCGATGTGTTCTAGGGACAAATTGTCTAAGGTCCTGGCCGTGTGATCTTGAGAAAATGAGTTAACGTCTATGAATCTTAATTTCTTCACCTGTAGAGTGGGAATATTGACACCTTTCTTATTAGGCTTATTTTGAACATGAATGAGAAAACTCATGTTAAAAACTTAGCACAATGACTAAACTAGAGCACAGTAAGCACACACTAAATATGAACTTCTTACTGTTTTATTATTATAGTCAGGAAAAGACAGGAGATAAACTGTAACTGAAAGTGTAGGTATGTTTTAGGCAGCTGGTGGAGCATGGAAGCGGAAGGAGTGAAAGAAAATAAGTACTCAAGAGGATTGAAAAGAGAGGTGTGGCTAGAGCAGAATCAGCTTGTTGGGGAGAAAGAGTCCAGAAAAGTAGAATGAAGTTAGCTGGTAGAGGGCTTCGTGCACAAGATTACAGGATTTTCTACCTATCCTAAGAACATTTGGAAGCCATGAAGGCTGTGAAACAGGTAGGAGAACTAATACCAATATTAACATAATTGGTAACATTTCATAAATACTTGCTAATGGCCAGAGTGGCTTTAAATTCTCTGTGTACATTAATCCATTTAATCCATACAACTACCCTACAAGGAGAGTTAAAGATTAATAATTGCCCTTGTAGTGATCCACAGTGTTCAAAGCACTTTCCTAGACAGTGTTTGGCTTTCTCAATCGTGTGTTTAGGTAGTCAATTCTGAGACTCAGGAACAAAGGAAAGGACATTGGTTGGATTTGAAGGGGTTGGAAAGTAATAGCCTGAAAGCCAAATTCGGCACACCACCAGTTTTTGTACATAAAGTTTTATTGGAACCCAGCTGCATCCATTCTTCTGCTCATTGTCTGTGCCCACTTTCGTGCTATAACCAGAGTTGAGTACTTATGATAAAGACCGTATAGCCCACAAAGCTAAAACATCTACTATCTGGCCCTTTATGTAAAATGTTTGTCAACACCTGGTCTAGAAGAGTGGAAAGACCTTGGGCTTTGCTTCCCATTGGATCTCTACCACTAATTCAAGGAAATAGACTTGAAAAACCAAATATATGAATATATAAAGTGGTTACTGTTGACCCACACACACAAAAAAACGATGAATAGATAACACTAAATCTCAGAAGCCTTAAAGGTTAGTCATCCTAAAACCACAGATCTAATTTATTAAGAATCTGATTGATTATATAGGCTAAATGTGTAGGTTAATCCATTTTGTTTTTCTAGTAAAGCAAAAACAAGAAGAAATAAGCAAAAAGAGGAGGAAGGATTTCCTCAATCTGCAGACTGAAGGCCCCTTAATATGAGCTTTCAATGGTTTAGCCAGATAACCCCTCCTGAAATATTGAGTAGAGACTATCCAATTGAGCCAGCTTTCTGCACTATGCCATTATATATAGAACAACTGTGAGATGTAATGTGAAATCATGCAATCCATAATAACCCATTCTTTCTCTGAGTTGCAAATTCCATTGCAATATATATGTATTGTAATATATATTACTCCTTTCCACCCTTAATTAGATGACCTTTGAAGTATACCTTAGATGATCCACGTATGTCCCTTCCACTAGATTATAAACTTAGTGAGGGCAAGGACTGTGTCTTCCACTGTTGTGCATTACCCACGGCTCTGAAGTGACATGATTCCTCGATTGTGCTAGTAATAGGTACAATATGTAACTGTGATGATTTGTCTCTCTGTTGAGTATTTTACATGAATTAGCTGTAATCCTCAGAGCAACATGAAATGTAGTTATCGATAGCCCTCAGGCTCGGGCTGTAGGCTCAGTGTAAAAAATTGGGAGTATAGATAAGACATTGAAATTAAAATGTGATCTGAATTATAATGAGCTGGGTGACAACTTGAGCTTTTCTCCATGTAGGTATAGGAAAGTGGTTTCCAATAACTGCACCGATGGAGTGAGAGAACAGTACACCGCCAAGCCGCAGAAGTGTCCGGGGAAGGCCCCTCGGGGGCTCCGGATTGTCACCGCGGATGGAAAGCTGACAGCAGAACAAGGGCACAATGTTACTCTCATGGTGCAATTGGAAGAGGTAGGACTCATTCCTGTCTCTCCTCTCCCTCCCTTCTAGAGGCAGGGATTTTTCCTAAGAAATCATGGTTTTGTATATATATATATATATATATATATATATATATATATATATATATACACACACACACATATATATATGTATATATATATATTTTTTTAATTTTAAATGTTTGAAAATTTTATTTTTTTCTACTTTTTATTCCTTGTTTTATTTGTTTTTATAATTTCACCTTCTCTGACACATTCCTTCAATTATTTTCATCTCACTGCAAATTGTTCTTCACTCCTATGTAAGATCTCACTCCTGGGTGACTCTTTTTTTATTTAACCTCATCTTATTGGCACTTTCAGCAAAAAGTTTTCTCAGAATACATTAATGGTATTGAAAAAATAATTTAGCACACTCACACGGACTCAGTCAACCTATATGACTCCAATGCTGTCTTCCTCTCTCAACTGGAAGTCTTGGCTTTTCCTTTCCAAAAGTAACATGCTGGTCATACATATAACACAGAGGCCAACCTAAACACACTTGAGTATACTTTCTTTGCCAATTGAATTTTCATTTTTGTAGCACATCAGGAATATCATTGTGAACATCATTTTTTTTCTAACTTATGGTCATGTGAAATTTCTGAATATTTGCATGATGGATAAGAAATTTATACTATGTATTTTAGAATGTACACAGGTACTTTTGTCATCTTGTAAATGAGGAAGATGGTCTCTAAAGGATAAACACTTTTATGAAATGATCTCAATTATTAAACCAGACAGTCCTCTCTTCAGCCGTGTTTTCTGAGTACCTAAAATATGGCCAGCCCTGTGCTAGGCCCTTTGAATACATGGAAACTTAAATAGTTAAGAATGACACTAGGATTAAGATTTATAACATTTATTTTTAGCTTTCTCTTCTGATAGTTCAGTGGCTTTCAGTCTTTAACATGCATAAGAATCACCTGGTGAGCATGTTAAAATAACTTTTTGGGCACCATCTCCAAAGATTCTGGTTAAGTAGGTTGAGATGGAGCCCAAGAATATGCTTTTCTAACAAGGTCATAGATTATGCATTGTGCTTTAAGGACAAACAAAACAAAACAAAACAGGGCAAAATCAAGGAGGATAGAGTAATCTGAGAGGTGTTGGACTGTGACTTGAAGGGAAAAAAATAGAACAATTAGGATAACCTTGTCAGGTTTGATCAAAATTATTAGTATTTTAATTCTTGTAGAAAAAGCAATTGTGAAATAATGCGCTTGAAACTCTGGCTCAGATGATGCTGGCGCTTCTGGTCCAGGACCACTTAGAGAGCCACTCCTCTCATCTAATTCTGCTTTCTGTCAACTTCTTAATAAAGGCCTTTTCACCACACCCAAAATTCTAAGGTTCCCCCAAATTCTTCATTTGGAACTAGAAAGATAGAGGCCAATGTAGGCCAATTGGAGTTCTTCTCATTTCACAGAAATAAAATTTGGGGGGACTTCTGCCTGAGGCTATCACAGATTAGCTTGCAGCAAACCAAATATATATATAGAGAGAGAGAGAGAGAGAGAAGGAGGAAGGGGAGCATAAGAAAACTATCAAGAGGATTTGAGAAGCCAACATTCTTTTCTTAAGCGATGGAAATTCATTGCGGTGAGTCCAAAATTTTATGCTATACTTCCCCTTGAGTACTTTTCCAATTACCCTGTATATGAGGTCAGATTTTAGATTCCCAGTAGAAGACCAAACAGAAACTTTTGGCTGAACAGCCCTTATGGACTCACAGGCTGGGAAGGTAAAAGTCGGTTTCACGGCTACCAAGGCAGTTGGGACTGAAGAGGTCAAATTCCAGACAGAAAAGAAACACAGGGAAGCAGCACAATATTCTGTGCCTTGTTCTCCTTGAATTATGTGGTAATATCTAAGTGATGCAGGCACATAGAAAGTTTTTTATCCACTTAGAGGATGAGAAAGTAAGCTTAATTTTTAGAAGTATTACATTCTTGTGAGATAAAAATTTGAGTTCAGGGTCTATCAAGGAGGGGAACCCTGGTGAACCCCATAAAACCAGGTTAGATTCTTGAGACTCCTAGAAATTTCTACCCTAGGAGGAAGAAAAAAACGAAATTATACCAGGCTCTCCAAACTCTGAAATCCAAACTGAAATTATTTCAGTCCCTGAATAGGTTAGGGTGATTTTCCACCATTCTAAATGTCTATCAGAAGCTAGAACAAATCCTCTTTAGAGAAAATTAACACAAATCAGAGGTCTTACCTATATTTTTCATATGAAAAGTTAGACTTTTATTTTGGAAAAAATTATGGCTATATCAACAAACAGGACAAAGAGTGGGGGGAAAAAGCAATAGGAAATGAAAACAAAACAAAACAAAAAACTGTTGCCTGATACATGATACTGAAAGAACAGTTGTCTCAAATACGATTAATATCTTCATACATATGGGACAAAATAGAAAATTTTCCCTAAAGCAGTAATCAGTAGGAAGCAGTAATCAAATGGAAATTGTAGAAATGAAGATATAAAAACTGATATTAAGAACTTTGATGGGTTTATAGCAAACTGAACCCAGATGAATAGAGCATCAGCTAGCTGGAAGAAAGAAGAGTAGGAAATATACCATTTGTAGCATAAGAAAAAATGGATAGAAAATAGAGAAAATAATTATAAGAGACAAATGGAAATGGTGAAAAGGGCTAACAGATGTTATTGGAGTCCCAGAAGGAGCGGGGAGAGAGAAAGAGCCAAAATCATTTTGAGGAGATAATGTCTGAGAATTTCCCAAAACTGATAAAAGTTATCAGCATACCAAACACATACATTCAAGAACATCATCATAGTCCAACCAGGATATGTACAAAGAAGAACCACACTCAGGTATCATATTCAAACTATAAAAATCTGAAAACAAAGAGAAATTTTTAGAACAGCCTAGAAGAAAATAAAATGACATGTTTGATGTGCTGGGGGGGGTGGGAAACAAATGTGAAAGTAAAATAGAGACATTTTTTCAGATGAGCAAAACCTGAGATTAGTCATATAAGCTGATTTCTATAAAAAGCAATACTGAAGGTAGTTATTCAGGCATAAAGAGAATGATCCTAGACAAAAGCACAAAACTAATGGAGCGAAGAGCAAGAAAGAGGGAATATATGTGGGTAAATTGAAATTAATAATAATTTTGCAGACCAAAAATTATAATCAGCCATAAGATTTAAAATATATATAAATTAAAACACATGACAACAATGATACAGTATGTGGGGAAATTAAATGGAGTTTGTGTGTTTCAAGTTTTACGAAATGTCTGTGAAGAAGTAAAAGCAGTCATTTCTATTAGACACCAACATGTCCAAAATGTATGTTTTAATATCTAGAGCAACAGCTAAAAGAATAGTAAGAAAATATTTACCTATCACATAATTGACAAGGAAATTTGCATAATAGTAACAGTTCCTTGTTAATCCAAAGTGAGATAAGGAAGAGAGAAAAGGGAACATACTACAATTGAAACAGAACAAATACTGAAATGCAGCTATAAACCTAAATATTGTCAATAATTACACAAAATAAATAATTAAGGATATTTGTGGCTTGCTTAGAAAGTCTGTACCTAACCTGAGATCATGAAGATATTATACCACAAGTTTTTTCTTTAGTTTTTATATTTAAGGCTATGATCCATCTTGAAAAAATTGTTTCAAGAAGGCGCCAATGTTTAAATATTTTTCCATATGTGTGTCTAATTGACCTAGCACCATTGAAAGACAGTTATTTTCACACTGAATTGATATGAGCCTTTGTCATAAATCAATTGACCATTATGTGTGGGTCTATTTCTAGACAATTTATTTTGTTCCATTGGTCTGATTTTCAAACCTCTGTTAATTGCTAATTTCAAACACATTTTATTTACAGTAGATTTAGAGTTAAGTCTTGCTATTTGGGCATATAAATCCTCTAAAATGCATAGAAAATTTTATATATATATATATATATATATATATATATATATATATATATATATATATATATATATACACAAACACACACGCGCGCGCGCGCACACACACACACACGTATAATGTTTAATAGCAGAATACAACGCATACCTACAGATAAATCTACCGACTTTTCAATAGCTCTACCCAGAACAGTACAACACATTTGGGCAATTTTTGAAAAATATAAATGGAGGACTATACCATGATCATTAATTAGACCACACAATATTAAGAGAAGATACCAGTTTTCCCCATATTGATCTGAGATTGTAGGCAATTTCAATAAAAATGCCCAGCATTTTTTTGTAGGTAAAAATTGGCATGATGATCATAAAACTTAATACGAAAATAAGAGGGCTTAAGAATAGCAAAGATTATCTTGAAGGGGAATCACAAAATAGTTTAGCTTCCATTACCAGATATCAAGATTTATTATAAAGTTATAGTAATAAAGTGTGGCAATGCATAGGAGCTATATATGCTATATATAGAAGCTGAATAGGAAAGGGAATAGAGTCAAGAAATATACTCATACATATATGTACACCCACTTATTTATGGCAAATGAGGTACTACAGTACAGTAAATTAATTACAATCTTTCCAGTAAATGGTGATATAATATTGAATATGGGAATATAACATTCATGTGGGAATACATGAATCTTGAGGTCTGGTAACACATAAAAATAATTCTAACCAGATTGTCAATTGAATTCTGAAAAAAAATTAAAGTGTTTAAAGGAAAACAGGAAGATTATCTTCAGGACCTTGGGTTTAGGCAAAGATACACACAGATATATATATATATATATATATATATATATATATATATANATATATATATATATATATATATATATATATATATATATATATATAATGGTTTTTTTTTAAATTCGGGAACAACCCAATTAAAAAAATTAAAACAGCCCATTGGTTACACATTGCTGTCATGCTACAATGGCATAGTTGACTCTTTTAAGGAGGGTGC